AAAGGAGTGTGTAAGGGTGAACCCTACCAGGTGCCAAGTTAGTGAAAGCTCTATGTGGGCTTAGGAGGGAGTATGGATATGTCCCCTGAGAGGAATATGAGACTTCAAGGGTAGTCTGGGTGAGGACTGAGATAAGGGGAAAAGAGGTGGCAGAAGGGGCATGGCTGTGTGCAGCATAGTGACACCACCACCACACATAATGCAGGGAGACAGTGCAAGGAACTGGAGGAGGCCAACAGAGCTGAAGCTCAGAGCCCCTACTCTGGACGCTGCACAGCTCTCCTAGAGGGGCTGAGGCTTCTGTAGCCAGGGACAGACCTGAATCTGGGTCAGTGTTGTCCCTAAAAGGGAGCCACCCCTACTCACCTCAGATCTCTGTAGTTAATGTTAGACTAAGATGTATTACTTATATTATTCAAGCTGAGAAATATATAATGCTGTATACGTTGTAATGCTCCTAGAGAAGCTACTATGGTTTATGAAAAGCAGAGAGGGTTTTCTCAAGGTGGGGTATTAATACCCTGTTAGGAATGTACCACACATCTGCCCCCACTAAGTGACTGGTTTGGTCTCCAACTGGATTGTACCTGCACCAGGACGAAACTGTAGTTTCCTTAAAATGCACAGATCCCTCAGAAATATCTAGGATATACAAGACCTGGCTACCTATTTCACACACCAGGCTTTCCACCTTCTTTTTAAAGAAGAACTTTGTTTTAAGTTGTCATAAAACAAAACAAAAGAAAAATTTCAGTGGCAGAAAGAAAAAGACGTTAGTTTCAGCTGAGAGACAGATCTCCAACTAAACCCGCTGACCGTTGCCAGCAATGCCCGGATGGCACTCGTTGTCCTGTTCTCTGGGTTTCTTCTGTGGGAACTGGCACAGCTCTGAGGACAGGAGTCTTTCCTGGGATTCACGGATGGGATTATTCCAGGGGAGCCTCTGGTGGTGCACTTTGAAGAAGGCCCTCAAATTAAAGGATTGTCCTCAACTGACCACAAAAGTCATGTCAAACTTACATTGGACCCATATTGGCAATTTTTTTAAAAGAAAAAACCTGAAAGTGAAAACAGGCAGAATTCATCCTTATAGAGTAAGCAGGGCTTCAAATAATGTTGAGCTGCTGCCAGCTCACCTTGGCAGCTCTGAGCTCTGCAGCCACATGCTCCTAAAAGAGATCTTCTGCTTGTTTGGCCACCCACAGAGACTCCAGCTCTTCCCTGGCCTCCACTATCACTTTCTCATGGTCCACGAAGTGAGCTCTGGGTCAAACATCACCCCAGCAGGCATGGTGCACGTGACAAATTTTGAGTGAAGTTTATTTCTTGTCTTCTGCAGAAAGTCAATACTTCTCCTTTTCAATAAATGGTACTGTTGAGTATGTGTGCTCTGCCTAGGTTTCCAATCCCATCATCATTGTTCCCTGGGTGCTTTCTCTAGCAGCACTTCTCAAGCTTGAGTGTACTCAAGTTTCAGCGGGGGACTTGTGGCAGGAGATGTATGTGTAGCAGGCCTGGGGAGACCTGATGTCCAGCACTTCTATCAGCCTTCAAAGTGATGCAAATGCCACTGGCCCACAGATCCCAGTTCAACATCTAACATCAAGAGCGTACCATACCTTAAATCAGAGGTCTCAGTCCTGGGGTATCTCACAAGAGGGGCTTCTTTAAACAGCTCTGTGGCTCACATGTGACCCCATGGTAGATCACTGAGATACCTAATGTGACCAGATGATGCTGCAATAGCATTTCATATTTACCTTACATAAATTAAGATCAAGTGTGTACCACAGGGACTCTCAGACAGTGCCTACCTTCTCTCCATGAAAGATCTAAAGAAAATCTAGTGCCCTGTGATAAGGGTAGATCTAAAAAGAACACAGAGAACTAGATGTTTTTATGTACTGCCCAGGGTGATAGGATCTTCTTGAAGGATATTTTCCTGTCTTCGTGTATATTTAAAGTAAGTTATGTTAGTCATACACACAAGTATAAACTACAGTATTATAATGTATGTTCAGTGCCCAATCTTTGAAAAATACAGACAGCTATAAAAAACAAAATAAAAGCCATCTGTAGTTTCATGATCCTTCTGTTTCCCATGCATGTATGTCTTGAGGCTATAGTATACATAGTTTTAAATCATTTTACTTAACATTTTATCAGTATCATCGTCCGACTAAAAATCTAGTAAACCTCATCTTTAATGAATGCATAGTATCTGTTATAATTTAATGATTTCCATTTCACTGGGCATTTAGGTTGCCTTCTTGGACCTGGGCATGTTAATGCTATACTGAACTGATTTTTCTCTCTTTATCATTTTACACAGTCATTTGGTTCACAAAGTTTTGAGCTTCTATTATGTGTCAGGTCATTTTCTTAGGACAGCCTCCCAGAATAGGAAGTACTAGGTTCAGTGATGAAGAGAGGCATATGTCAAATTGCTCCCCAGAAAGTTTGTAACAATTTAACATTCCCAAAGATAGCCCAGAGAGAGGCTGGCGCAGCCCCAAACGTTTAACAGCGCTGAGTTTCCGAGAGTTTTTACATTTTTAAAAGTATTTCCAAAACAGATATTCACACACTTTGTCAATGACGGTATCTGTCCTCAGCCTGGCTAATGATGCTCACATCATCATCCTGGTCTCCAGAGCAGAAAGAGCCTGTGTCCTCACTCTGGCACTATTGGAAGCAAGGCCTTGAGCCAGGAATAAATGAGTAAGGGGAGAAAAACCCAGAATCTTGTAATTGATTATTTAGTGCAAAAGAGGAAGAAAATGATCACAGGTGGTGATGGCAGATGTGACGGCCCAGGACACTTGGCAAAATATGGCACACATTTGATTACCAGGAAGGTGGCTTCTAAGATGCTGAGTGTCCAAGTGGCACTCTTTTGTGCCTTCATAGCCATGAATTATATATATTTTTATTTTCTCCGTTTACTTTCTACTCTCCTTTCTAAATACTTAAATCAGTGACATCAATAGCAGATGCTGTGTGAAATTAGGTGCCTAAGCAAGGCTATAAAACTCTCTCCATAAACAATGCCAGCAATTAACTGTTTCTAAATACGCCATCACCGTCGTATCTCAAAACGGATGCATGACAACTTGAAAGGCAGTAGCCATAGATATGATGTTTGGCAGGAAGCCCAAATCCACTGTCATACTAGGCACCAATTCAAACTGTTATTATTATTATTATTCTTAATTAGTGCATACTAATTACTTTCTAACTTTCTTTTCTGGTTTAAAAAGAAAATCCTTCTTTCTCTCCTGGAGTTTCAAGGATAGTCGCTGTCTGATTTGACAATGAATGTGCCATCATAGGAGAGCACCATGCCCAGCAGCCAGGCTACAGCATGGACCCCAGCACTCCTAAGATCATCTCCCCAGTGCTGAGGTTTGGGAAGACTTTGGCTCCGGGAAAGAAAGTCAGAAATTGCTATCATGCCTCTAGTACATCAAAGACAACTTCATTTGCATTTCACCACCACAATGAACATGAATAGGCAAATGGTGCATAATCCACAGCCCAACTGAGTTGAAAGACAGATAAACATCCCACACTGAAGCAAGAAGACAGACTGCGCTCTCCCGGCTAGCAAGCAAGGCCGTCTACACATCTACACCTCAGCCAGCCAATGGAATAGCAATGAAACTCGAGCTGAAGTCCTTGCAGCCCCACTGGTATACAGACTCTTCTGACTTTGCTCTCACCCAGGAATCCTAAGCCTTCAGTGAGGCATCCTCATCCACAGTGCCCTCTTTGAAGCTAAGAAGGAGACAAAGGAAAGCATACTGACCCTTCCAGACCACCAGCTTTGAGACAGAAAGAGCAGTTTGAAACAACACGAACTAATGCACATCAAACACACTTAAGAGACACAAAAGTACCAAAGCATGAGCAGAACAATCCTCTTGCTGCCTATTCTTTAGGGTGGGAGGAACTATTTTCCCACCACCCTCATCCTACTGAACTTGCATTCTCATAATGCTCAAGTATCCAGGCTAAGGATATTATTGCACGATTCCCAGCAAAGAGTCTAATGAAGTGTGGGGAGCCTGCAGGCTGGGAAGAACTGAGCCCAGCTCTTTGGTTTCCTGTGGATCCCATGCTGGCTCTCTGACTCTTCAGCCTCCACCTCTCACATGCTGTGCTAGCTCTACCTGTCCTTGTGTTAGGCTTCAGTTGTGCTATTTAAGGCCAGCTTACAGTTGGGCGCATCATGTGGTCACGGTGTCCTGTGATTGGGCCATGCCTTCCCTCTGAGCATGCTTATTCTTATCTGTGCCACAGCCACACTTATATACAAGTGTGTCACCACGCATCCACAGTAGAGGTGTGTGAATGTGGGTCAGAAGTGGTGATCTACCACCACCAAGTGCAAAGCACAGCCAATGGCATCAGATGAGGAACAGCCACTCTTTGCCAATGTTTAATTTAAAGTCACAAACTGCGAAGTGGGAGAGAATACAGTAACTAATGACTGTCCAAAACCCAAGTACAGGGCCGGGGATATAGCTCAGTGGCATAAGCACCTGCCTGGCAAGCGCAAGGTCCTGAGTTCGATTTCCAGTACCAAAAAAAAAAAAAAAAAAAACAAAACCCAAGTACATCTGCATTTGGCAGGGCTCTTGTGATTGCAAACAACAAAGCATAAGATCAAAACTGGCTTGAGCCCAAACCAAGGAAGAGTTGTCTCCTGTAGCCTCGTGGTACAAAGGACACTTGGACTCCTGGTCTGGCTGCCCAGAGCCTCATTGATGTCACCAGGATGCCTTTTCTCAGCTCTTCCTCCCTAGCTCAGTCTTCAGCTTCTCCACAGAGTCTCTGCCAGCTTCAAGACCATAAGCTCTGAACCCAGGTCTCCCTGCTCTCTGCCAAGTCCTCATCCATTGTGCCATGAATTAGTCCTACTGTTGCTCACTCACCTGGTCTAAGTCATGCGCCTGTCTCTAAGATAACACTGAAGCCAAAGAGATATAATTTGTTACCTGGGTTAGCACTGGGCACAGGTCTCACCCACATGTGTCAGCGAAGAGTTTTGGCAGCCACATTCTCCTGGAGGAGGGTTGAGGGATGTTACCAGGCAGAAGGTCAAGGAGTGTTGAGAGGCAAAAGCAGTAGGACTACAGAAATATATTTGTGAGTGGCAAGTCACAGCTGGAGTTAAACTGGAAATTCAAACCATGATAAATTCAAGTCATAACAAAGGGGCTGGCTGTGACTTCACCCTTGGGCAGTGACAATGGTGACTGGCACAAGAGCACATGTGTGCTATACAGAAAAATAATAACCAAAAGTGTGCATCATGCCAAATTAGGAGGTACTCCAGAGCTATCTAGCCATGAGGACTATCAGTTTTAACAGCCATCACATAATCAATACCTACTGTCAGAGTAGGAATTGTGCCTATTGCATTTCTGCCCTACGAAAGCCTCAAAGATAAACCTTCAAAGCCTCCTATGTTTTACCAGTGACTTCTAAAAAATCTATTATTTAGTTATCTAAATAACTATGTGAATTATATGACTATGTGTACTATCTTCGCATTTTTGTCATAATTTGTCACCTCTAGAAACATGTTATTGTTTTGTGCATTCACTGATTGTGTGTTTATCATTCAAGTCTACTTTAACCCAGTCCCCATTCTCCCTTCTTTGTTCAGCAGATAGACTCTTTACACCTCCTGTGCTCCAGACAGTGTACCCAGTACTTGACACCCAGAAGTAAACAAGAACCAGGGCTCACCTTCAAGGAGGTCAGGGGAGGAGTTATAGGGAAGGAGCTCCTGTCAATGGCCCATTACTTGAGACGTCAGGGACATCATCAGCTTGTGTGTTCCAATTCTAAAGGATTCTCCGTGAATAGGTAGAAATTAATTTTTAGAAAGGCAAGTGGGCAGCAAAACAAATATGCCATAGTATCGTTCCTTTCCACAGGAAGTGCATTTATGGTGTGGTTTGGTCACAGTTTTACAACAAGCTCAGGTGAGAAATGATGGACTTTGTATAAGTTCAGCGTGCTACTTACCTTTCTCTGCCTCTCACACCCTCCACCCCACTCTAATTAGCTCTGTGGGAGGGGATGGACTTAGCTTGGTCTACATAAGTGGACACACTTGCTCTTGGGCTTCAGTTAGGTTCATTCAGTGGGGTCATTGGAAGGTGATCAGAGGAACAGAGCAAGGACAGTGAGGTTGCCAGCTCTCCTGCATCATCTGTCATCTACCGAAAGCCACACTGTCTTGTACGGGTTCTCATGACATGGTTCTCTCCTTCCAGGTCAAGCAACTACCCTATTCTCATTCCTTCAGACCCAGTGAGTGTAATGCACTAGTGTGAGCTCCCTACTCATTACTCCTTACTCATATCTTTTTAAATAGCGTCTTTACAGGCTGGGGATTTAGCTCAGCTGCACAGTGCCTACCTGGCAAGCATGAGGTCATGAGTTTGATTCCCGGTACCAGTGAAAAAAACAGAGAAACAAACAAATAAATAGCATCTTTATTAAATTCTCCTCCAATTACATAGTTTGAATGATATACCTTCTGCTAGCACCCTGAAAGATTACCTCTAGATTGGCCAGAATTGTTTCAAATGTATTGTGTACATATTTGGTCATTTGACAAAGGTTTCCAAAGTGGTGCTAAAAGCTTCCTGCTCTACTGTCCTCAGAGATCCCCTTGTCCCTTGACCTCACTCTACGGATAAGTTGCAGGCGTTCTGCCAACATCATCTTAGAGTCTCACCCCACCCTGAACTTTGGTCTTTTTTCTGACCCACTGAATTGAAGGCACTTGGTATAGTCTGAGCACTTGTTATGGTATTCCCCCAGTATCCCTGGAAACACACGCATCTTCTGACATGCCAGCACTAAAATAAATGTGAGACAAAGCCAAGTGTTGGCATGGATATGGAGCAACTGGTGCTATTAATAGACTGTGTGTGGGAGTACAAATTAGCACAAATACCTTTTTAAAAAGTTGTTTAAAATCTAAATGCAAAGCCATCCTGTGACCAGCACTCCCATCCCTAGGCATGTCCAAGGGAAGTGAGTGTCTGTGTCCCAAAAGAGGAGAAAAAAAAAAAAGGAGAGGAAGACAGAGAAGGAGAAAAGGAGAGCTCTTGATACAACGCAAGGCCAACTCTCAATTACTATGTTGAGGGAAAGAAGCTAAGCACAAAAGAGTGTATACTGCATGATTTCACTTATATTTAAGTCAAGAACAAGAAAAACTGACAGATGATGAAAGAACTAAGGAGAGAAGCTCCCTTGTGGAGGGATGTGTTGGGTAACAACGGGGAATAAGTAGACTTCTGGAAGGTAGAAATGATCCTGTACCTTGATCATGGTGTACACATAGTTAAAAACTCATCAAACTGCACATTAATGATTTATAACACTCTTTCATGTTGTATGGTATACCTCAATAGCAAATTAAAATTCAAAATGAGTTTTGAAGACTATATAATGTGAAATACGGATGCTTATTAGAATCAGATGTCTCCGTAATTCCTAATATGGTTGTGTATAAATGTATTTATCTAATATTATCATTTTAAATGACTAATATCTTTTCACAGAAGCACCATAGGCCAGCAGCAGGTAACCTCCAAATGCTCAGGGAAATGATTGTAATAACTAGCAATTCATTTGTTACATTTTTATTGCCAATCCGGGCTCTTTTTCAGAAATTCTCCAAACTCTACCAGACTCTAAACACCACTCTTTGGAACGTGAGTCATTTTAAAGGTCAAGGGCAGAAGAGCCATCGCTAGTATTAAAAGAAGCCAGTGATGCCTTCCTAGTCATGGTACAGTTTGGGTCTTACGTGAACACAAAAGTTGAAGCTTTTGGGCATAAGTGATCACATTCAGCAAACTTCCCTGGAAAAGGGGAGTTTTCAAGTCTACAGGAAGTTCCTCTAGGTATCTTTGGTCTTCAATGCACTGTGTTTTTACAAGCAAGGAAATAACCACACAAAATCCTGTCCGTTCCACTTTAAAAGACAGTTACTGTTTCTTTTTGCAGACTATCGAAAGCAGGGGATCAGTGTGACCATTTGGCTGTTTTCAAGTTCCTCCATAGGTCAGTAAAAAGGGTTTGAAGCCCACCTCGGGCTAGCAATAGAAGCCCCAGATCTCCACTGGAAGACCAGACTCTGAGCCCAGAATGATTAGGCTGGTCAGGTTTCTTCCTAGGATTCTCCCAGGAACCTCCCTGTTGAACTCAGGGAAATTATTTGACAGGTAAGTGTTAAAAACCTGTGCCCACTTGGAGAATGTGCACAAGCATGTCCTTGTGCTTTCTTCTGCACTTAAAGGACAGTCATCCTCTCAATCCAATTTGCAAGGTCATGATGTTGCCCGTGTCGGGTTCTCCAGCCCAATCTGGAACCTTTTCTCACCCTTGCCCACCCCATTTCTTAAAAGCTTTCCCACACCAGACTCCTGCCTGAAGAGCCCCCGCTCCCCTTTTGCTGCTAACTCCTCACATTCAGGAATCACCTTAATCCGCTCTTCCTCCAAGACTAGGTGCATATGGCCTCTCTCTCATAGCTCCTCTGGCCTTGTGAAATTCATCACAGTGTATGACTATAGTGCTACTCATGTGCTCCCATTTTTAGCCTTGGGCTCTTCCTTTAGACATGATCCATCAAGAGAAGAACCTCGTCTCTGCTTCCTACCAAAGCTTGCCCAAAGACTGCATAGAGGGCCACATCCTAACATTTAAAAATGTATTTACAGAATGACAAGGATGAGGCAGGAGAAGATTCTTGACCTATGGGTCACTGCCTCAGTCAGCTACCAGTTAAGGAAGGGCTCATTAAAATGACAAACATACACATCAATAAGAACACTAATGTTAATCCTGAAATCCAAAGCTGATGAGGTTACAGGAAAAAAGAAATTAAGTTATCAACGACCGTAGCAGGAGAGCATGTTTTTATAGGTCACCACTATTTGGCATCAGGAATCAATTCATAATGGAAATAGACATACATTTTCCATGTTTTCATAATAACTCAAAACTAGAAATGACTTGAAGCATATAGCAAAGAGGAAACTAGTAAAGGATGAAATTTTTGCAGCTATCTGATACTGTATGATACATACATGATCTTTGATCTTTTTCACAGTAAATTAGAAAGCATAGTAAACATATTCTACAAAGTTTTCATACTCTTGTGCATAGGTGTGAAAAAAGAATGGAAGGGAATACTTGAAAGAAACATCTGAAAAACAGAAAAAGTAGTTTCTAAATTATCCTTGAATATTATTTTAATGGTAAATAAAATGGAACAATGAAAACTCTAGATTTCAGTGGTGGCAGACACCAATACCTTCATGTCTCCCTCTATTGTCCCTTGGTACCCTTCCAGCCCCCCAGTATGCCCACTGCCATGCTCTACCACAGGGAAGGAAGCCTTGCTCAGAGGGAGGCAGTACCCGTGTGCCTTTAGGAATGTTGACATCAAAAGTAGAAGTGGACTTCCTTTCTTCTGGTTTAAGGTCTGTCTTAAAATGGTCCCCCATTAAAAGAGATCCGTACCTGACCTCCCTCAGCTGTGGAAATGGAGGGTTTTACAAAATTTTTAGGAGGAAGCAGGAGAAGGGAGCTCTGGTCCCATTGCAGCTGAAGCTGAGGTGGGCTGAGAGTTCTGCCACAACAGACGCCCAGGTCCTGCGGCATTTGCTGAGCTGGACAACCACAGATAAATGGCCTTCTGCTCTCCTTCCAGTCCTTCAACTGACCCCCTAAAAGTAGGTCAAGAGAAGAGAAACTTAAGATCAGTGTTTGACTCACATATCCCAGGGTCCAGTGGATCTTGAAGCTAATCAAATGAAGACCTTACAAGACAGAGATAAGCAACAAGAAAATGAAAAAAATGTATCAACATTCAACCACAAAATGTATCTGTTATGTGGGCTGTGTCCCTGTATGTATCCTTGTAAAAAGGGCTAAGTAGATTAGCCATCTAATTAGACATAGTCAAGGCTGTCATCTGTCTTTATTCTTGCAATCCTGAAGGTTTAATCAGACACTTGACCAATCAATCAGGTCTCCATTGTGTATCCCACATGGATAGAAGCCAGTCAGCCTGTGCCCACAGGGCCCCAGAGCTCCGAGAGCCCACCCAGC